CCCATGACAGGAGGAAAATTCTCAACAGTGTTTAAACAGCCACAGGATTAGGCCCAGCAGCTCCGGTGACATCAATGTTACAGAGACAAACACACTGCTGTGGTCAGAGTGAGGAGCCCATATGGGGTGATAACATTAAAAAAAAAAAAAAAATCTTATACATTTTTTTAAAGTTTTATTATTCCCTCTCTTGTGGTTCCTTCTGCTCCCGGAATGAACGGGGGGTTTTATTGCTGGGGTTAAAAAACACGAATTTGCATTACATCCTGGCTCCCGCTGTAATACTTCAGTCTTGTTTCTCTCTCGTCCCCTCTCCAGAACAACTGATGCTATCACAGCCTGATTTAATTTCAAAGACGGATTGTGATTTGGCAGTCGGGGGAAAAAAAAAAAAGCCAAGCTAATCAAAAGTCACCATCTGCTGCGTTGCCATGGGGATATTCCTCCCCAATAAATGTGCTCTTTGCCAAAATCACAGATAACAGCACTATAAAGGGTGGGAGGTGGAGGGGGGGAATCAAAGAAAGAAGTTCCGACACTAGGGGGGAAAAGCGAAAGAGAGAGGAAGGAGGGAAAAACAAGGGACAGAAGAAGTCGGAGAAAAAGGAGGATGGACTATTGAGAGAAAACGACAAATGGACCAACTAGGGAGAAGGAGGAGGAAAGTAGGGACTCACCAGCATCAGGGTGACAAAGTGGTGGAGGGAGACAGACAAGTGGAAATGGGGAAGGAGAAGAAACACCTCGAGACACTGTGCTGCTTAAGATGCCCACGCTGGGCACCGGGCAAGGCTGCTACCCAGAGAGAAATGGGGTCACCTAACCTGGAATGAGTAAAAGCTGTCAGATTTCAGGTCGCAATGTGCTGGCTGCCCCCTGACCCTGTTTAGAGCCTGCATGTGTGTGTTGAATGCCCCTATTAACCCCCAGCAGCTAACGGAGATATGGGAGACGTCCTGCTCTCCTCCCCAGCCTAAGCGGGAGCTAAGCAAAGGGGTCACTTAGCACCCAGCAAGGAGGATGGGATGAATTATTCACTACAGAGGCATCACCGGTCTTTTTCTTCTCCCCTACTGGAGGATAAACCCAGAACAGATCACAGGTTGTGTGAATTCTTTGCTAAAAAAAAAAAAAAAAAAAAAAAAGCAAATGGAATGACTTCGGCATGAACTTGTTTTGCAATTCAGCTCCAGAGCTGATAAGAAACGGTCGCTGTGTGTTAACTGTAGGAGCACAACACCACGCTGCCCATCTCCAACAGGAAAAATTTATGGTCGGCTCTTCCCTCTGCTCCCACCTCCTCCTCACTTCAAGAGGTAGTGTAACAATCACACGCCTCAAAAACTGCATTGGATGTTTGTGTAAGCACTTCAGAGCACTGGGGTCACATGTGCATCCTTCTCTGCAAAACTGTGTAAATGTTTTCTTTTGAAGGAAAGTAAAGAACCTGACATTGCGTGGCTCCAGGAACTGGGGTTTAAGAGTGTACACTATAGAATCATAGAATCATCCAGGTTGGAAAAGACCATTAAGGTCATCCACCCAACCCCACTGTGCCCACTAAAGCATGTCACTCAGAGCATATGTCCTACATGAGCATCAACGCTTTTTGAACCTACACGCATGGAAAGAGGTGGGGAGTTGGGGTGAGTTCATTTAAAAAATGGAATGGGAGCTGGTGAGTACTATTTTTCAGAGTGGATTATTGAAGACTAAAGTCATTGGGTCTTCTGAGCTCAGGTGGCCTCACCTGTGTGAACGGAGACAGCAGCATTGTCACTGCACTAGACCCAGTCCTCCCTAATGCCCCTGTTTCCCTTAAACACCTCTCTCAAAGAGGCAACATCTGGGCAAGCAGAGATGACAAACAGTAACAAGGTTGCCCCAGACTCTGTGCCTTCCCTCCATTGGTGTGGTGGTACTCACCCAGGGTGGTGCTACCAGATCCAAAACCTCTTTGTCCTTGCGTTCTCCATGGGTGCAGGATCATGCCCCTGGGGTTGTCCTCCACGTAGGATGGCTCTATTGCTCGGGACAAAGATAGGTCCAGACACGTCACTCTCCCCAGCAGGTTCCCTGTGCAGAAAAAATAGAAGAAATTAAATGAAAGAACTTTAAAGACAGAAGAGAGAAGATAATAGTTTGAGAACTGGGGAATTTGGATTGAAACAAACATACACAAAACCAAGTGAAATAAAAGGGAAAAACTCAAGTAATGCAAAAGGGAGAAGGAAGAAAGCCCTCAAGAACAGTGAGAGACAGGCAGGAAATGGAGCAAAACTTCTGAATGGCATAAGCATCAGTTGCACAAACACCCCACAGTAAATAGGATGGGAGAACCGAATGGCAGATTGATGGAGCTAAGAAAGCCTCTGGGAGGAATATCCCTTTGAAAGCAACCTGGGAGATGAAAAGCTGGAACCCAGCTCCACTGCACGAGGGCTTGGTCCCAGGTCAGCTCCTTGGAGTGACAGGAGCAATGGGAATAAAGATACCAGCACAGCAAAGGGCTAAACCAAGCAGAACAGCAAGAACAGCCCTCATCTCCTGCCTCCCCACTTCTCTCTTTGCAGTGCAGGAGGGAGGGTGTCTTCAGCAAGAGGAGTGACAAAAATGAGGAAGCAATGGAGATTTGTTTAAAATTAGCAAATTTTGTTAAACAAAATATTTTCCTATTCAGCCAGTCTCTCACTACTTTTCCTCACCCCCACCCCGCCCCTAAATTAAACAGCAAATTATACTTATCAAAGAAGAGAAGGTAAAGAGAAATCTGAAAGGCTGTGAGAAACCTTTAATTATTAGTATAGTGGCATGAAAAGCTGTTGAGCCCCTTAGAAACGTACATGGCCAATTATCAAAAAATATAAGAGATGCAGAAAGAAAGGTTTGTCTAATAAGTATGAATCGCAGGGCCATTTAGAACATCAGTGTTAAAGCATTAGAGTTAAATGGAAAAGTAAAAAGGGGCTGATGGTTTTAACTATTTCACAGGAGGACAAGAGGTTGATACTGATAAGACAAGCAGTATAGTGAAGTTAATTATCTGTGGCCCTTGGTGCACAAAGCTTTTTGAGCTGGTGATTAATAGAGATAAACCATTCAAACTCCACATTTCTAAGGTGAATGAAGATGGCAGAGGAACTGCACAGCCCCAGCATACTAACTAATCTGCAGCAATGGAGGGTGCTGGTGGCTTCATTGCACCCCATCAGCTCCTATCCACCAGCAGCAGGGATGGCTGAGAGACATGGAGAAGGGGTGACCCAACATCACCAGCACCTCTGGGTCTTCACACTGTTGGAGGCGTTGGGGGCAGCTCCCCCTTAATTAGTAAAAAAGAAAATATATTATGTTCTAGTGTTAGTTCTCAAAGTAACCCTGGGGGAGGCAACATCTGCAAGTATTTTATACCACGTTGATCAATGCCTATGTGAACTCCTTCCTGCACTGCATTAACCATTGGCCTCAGGCCTCCTTGCTGCTAGGTATGTGCAGAGGATCTCACCTTTATCTTCTCATCCTACTGCTCAACTCAGGTAGAGGCATGGCACATCCCTGGATCAGGGCTAATGGTTTGGGACACGGTTTAGTGAGCAATATAGGTGGAAGACGGACAGTTGGATTGGATGATCTTAGTGGTCTTTTCCAACTTTGATGATTCTATGACTCCAGAACTCACTGTGATAGATGAGTGGTGAAGGGTTAAAAGTGCTCAAAGAAAGCCCATGTCCTAGACATGAATTTTGTTTTATAATCACAGAGTACCGGCACAGTTAATGGGAATAAATTAAGTGGTCTGGTGCTTTTGTGGGAGCTGGGAAGCAAAGATGTGAATGCAGAAGGATTGACTCAGCCCTTCATCTTTCTGAGACAGATTAATCAGGCACCATAAGGTTTATCGTGCTCAAGTTGGACAGATAAGACCTGAAAAATGGAAGGCTTGGATGGACAATCAAGAGGGACAGATCCTGATCTTACAAGATCTCCAGACCGAAGCTATTTAGAGGTGCTGCCAATATGAGTTCTAACCTCCACTCCAGAATTTGGATCAGACGTTTCTTCAAAACTTCTGGAACTGAAGAATTCCCCGACAATATCTGATGCTTCCTGCTGCTCCTGCTGGATGTTGCGAGTGCTGGGTGTCCTCTTCCAATGTTTCTGTCTAGAGCCCAACCAGAACAAAGAATTTCAGAGACAGCAATGAAAATTAAAGAAATAAAAAAAAAAGGACTCAACTTCTGAGCTTCACAAATGATTTGGTGCTTAGGTTTGCAGTTCAACTTGAATTTTAGGATGACTTTGGGGTTGGCTGTTACTTACTCCAAAACGGTTCCCTTGTCCTTGATAAGTTTGGAAAGGCATCTCAACTTCAGCATCTGCAAACAAAAGAATCTTATATTTTTGGCCAAAGTAAATTGAATAAATTTTGTGTTTGTTAATTGCATCCAGGCCAACCAAGTATGGGGCCAAGTTTCAGCCCAGTGGGATTTGCACATGGCCTGGATACAAGCTATTGTAAATGGGGATCCCTGAAGGAAAAGCTGACAGATGGTGATTCTAAAAATGTTTGTCAGAGCCAGCCTTTGTGACACATAAAACCCATAGCCAAGGGGGTCCCTGAGTTTGGAGATGGTTCTGAACTGCATGTAAGGCTGGGGACATTTGTTGGTACTGGTGGAATTTACTGGACTGCTCTCATTGTTGGCCAAACCCATTTCTGTTAAGTCCATACTCTCTAAGATCCACTCATTTGGATGAAACAAAAACTGGATCCATGCTGCACCTGGTTTTCCAAATGCATATTCCAAAACCACTCTGACTTCCACGTTATAGAGTGGGGCCAAAGATGAACACAGTTTATCCAAGCTACATGGAAATGCTCCTCAACCATTCCTACAAGTAGTGTTCCAATTTTGTGCCTCAGTATTCCAGTGATGGGATCAACACCAAGATGCATTGGCCCACCTCCTTATTAGTACCATTTTCTTCTAACTGAATGGTTGCATTCAAAGTCTGGACTGGGAAAGGTCTCACGATACAGCATTAGCGCTTCCTTCCCAGCCAAGAAAAAAGCAGCTTTCTAAAAAAAAAGTATTTCTGCATCACATTCCTCATCTCTGTAACTCTAACCAAACTGCTAGACAAGCCCAGACATCCTGTTAGCCCCACCAACAACCGGACTCATCATTTGGATCAAATTATTTAGTTAATGAATTTTGTTTTCACCCTGCAAACAGCTAGTAAGGACTTTGCAATGGCTTTGGAAAGCTTTTTTTTTTTTTTTTTTTTTTAAAATTTTCTGCAACTAATTTTTGTTACTGGCATCACTCATTGCAGCATTTGTCATCTGAAAAACAGAAATTACATCTTTCATCTAGCTTTAAGTGAGTGTACCTGTCAGATGACTGTGTAAATCTTGTTAGTCGATCAAAATTTTAGAGAAAGACACTAAAGAAAGCTTGAAACTGACCCCTACCCCAACCATTTTCTACCATTAGTTGCACGTATCTGTTGCCAGCCATATTCCCATATATACTCATCTGTACATGTGCCAGGAAATTCATGGAAAGTCAATACAAACAGGAAACAGGCAGAGCAAATACATTTACCATAAGTTCATGTCAGATGGTTATTCCATGAAAATGCATGTTACATCTCTTACATCCCCATAACTGTAAAACAGAAAATACAAGAAACAAGAACTTACCTGAAAGATCCCCTCCACAGCAGTAAAAAAGCAAGGTTCGCAAAATATTTCAGACAGTAAGATAAACTTTTTAAGGGAAAAAAAAAAAAAATACGAGAAATGGAACATTCAAATCTTTAAGCTCAAAGTCACATTAAACAAGAAAACAAATCTTTCTGTTAAATTTCTGATTTTGACATGAGGCTCTGTGTAATCCTTTGGTTGCTGTCACATTGTAAGACCTTGCAAAAAAACATATTTCCCAAAAATTACTTAGAATTCATCTCGGGAGGGGAGATATTCTTTCTCCAAGAAAAATAAAAAGATTTTCTAGAAGCTTAAGTTTTATTTAAACTTTTTTTTTTTTTTTTTTTTTTTTTTTCCTGCACAAGACATCTACCTCAGAGTCTTTTACAAAGAATGCTAGATGTGCGCAGCCCTGCGGCAACGCTCACTGCTGAATTTGTGCCATGTGTGTTTGTGCAGGATCCGACCCTGCAGAAGAGAAGGACACCCCCAAGTTCAAGGAGATGCATTTAGACCAGAGCATTTTGTTTGAAGCAAGGATTAGTAAACACCATGATTTTGGCAGATTGGAAATGAAAATACTTGTAAAGGTAATAGGAAAGAGCTGGATGGAGCATCCAGCAGAGCCATTCTGCCCCAAATACCAAAGAGATTTTTATCAAGGATAACACAAGCCCTCCAAAAAAATCCAGTGTTGCAAGTTTGTTCCTATCTAGCTGACTGCCTGGTTATGCCCTGCGGGAAGGACACAGCTCCTGAGCAAACTCTTGCCTCACCTATCATTTTTTGGTGGGCTTGACTTGATCACACTATTGCAAAGGTCATTTATTAGCTCTTCTCCTTGCCCCAAGTACTTGCTCTGTTATGGCTGATGGCACTCCCCAGGCAGCCATGAAAAACATCCCAATCACCTTATGCCCCATTATGGGAAGGTCTTGCACTTCCACTGCCATATCTGGAGAGGAAATGATGTAACACAGTGGTGACGTTTCCATGAAGATAAAGCGTTGAGTAAGGTATACTAAGGCTGCTTCATGTTTCTGCTGTTTATCTCCCCTGCTAGCCATTCGTTAGGAATTTATGCATGGTCTTTAGTCACTGTTGACTCACCTTCTCTCAGCTGCCTTTAATCACTCTTCCTACAGCACAAGAAAGGTGAAGCTCTACTTGCAATGAGAGCAAACCTGGTTAGGAGAGCAAACTGGTTAGAAAAATTCTGCTGTGCCACCGGGTGCATCCTCCTCAGCAGGACCGTACACAACGGGACAGCCTTCATCTCCTTCTCCCACCTCTATTTTCTAATGACTTGTTCTAGTAGTACAACAGGGCAGCATTATGCAACAGGGGCTTTCCTGTTTTTCAAAACAGGACAGTCCCTGTCCCGAGCTACTAAAGCAGCCTAGTGAAACCCTCCCTAGGTGTGCTCCTGCTACCATAAAACCCGATGGTTCAAAGGAGTGACTTGCACACCCGAAGGGCAGGATCCAAGCACCCTGCCTCACATCAGGCTCTGTGCCTGCCCAGCACCTTCTGGGATGAAAGGCTTTCGGAGAACAATTCGTAGATGTTTTTAGAAGGGCCAGAATTATGGAATGTTGTAAATTAGCAAGCGAATAAAAGACACACAAAAAGCCCACTCTGCCACAAGGCCTTTGCAATGGATTTTTTTTTCCGAGTTGTATTTTAGTGCAACTACTGATGATAACTCATTATAAAGCCCTAATAAATTTACTGAATGGCATTTTTTTTTAAACATAGAAATCATGTAGCCATATGCTTAAATCCACTTCTCACATAAGTACATTTAGGCACGTACATGGCATTTCCAGACTGCAGGTCTGAATTCAGACATGACAAAATACGAATGTGCATGTAACTGCAGAAAAGGATAAGCAGCTGGTAGGAAGAGGGAAGGTGGACATCAAACAGATTATACAGTCACTTCATGAAAACAGAGAGAATGATGAATTTTTACATATGAAGGAAAAGAAAGTCACAGCTCACTGGGATATTTTACTAAAAAGAATAAAGATCTGCCATTTCTAGACATACTTTTCCCCATCTCGATGGAGGTGAGCACAACTGTTACACTGGGCAGGTTATAAAACACACAGATTGGAAAGATGTGGATCGCAGCACAAATGGTTTTCAAGTTAATGGTGGGTTTCAGGTTATAATAGAGATTCACTTAGCTGCTATTTGGAAAAGAGTTGATGGGATCACTTGAAACTATAATGACAAACATTTGATTATTTCTGAAGTACCTAAAGACAAATTATTTTTTGCTTCAGGTCTCCATTTTCTGTGATGACATTAGAATGATCAAATTTCTCGTATTTCACTGTTGCTAAAAACCAAAGCATCTTCTCAGTTTGTAATAAAGCTAATTTGCTTCTTGATGCAACACCATGAGCTTGCATCGAATCACACAGAATGGATGAATTTGATCATATCTGCACGGCACTCCCTACCATTCCCTTTCTCACATGTTCTCATAAACACTGTTTTACCTACACGTATACAAAGAACATACGCTTGCCTACCCAAACCAGGTAGGTGGCTGGTTGAATTCTAATAGGTTCTGCTTGCAAAGTTTTCCCATAAGATCAGGCAACGCATTTCAAAATAAGAGACAAAAGTAGAGACAAAGGAGAGAGAAAAACCAGCGCTGCTGAATGTATATGGAGCCTGGACTACCTCATTTCTGTGTGTTGAAACTAATTTGTTGCATTATGTTTCTATCTCTTGCATGTCCACATTGCCACAAGGTCTTATTTTTACAAAACAGACCCATCATTCTTTCCCACAGGATGAAAACATGGTTAAATACTTGCTGTAAAAAAACCATTATGTGATGTGCTAGCCAAATGATACACTAATACTCCGACGTAAGTGCTTTTTTGGCAACTACTCAAAGGAGAAAAATCACATCGTTTTCAACCCCAGTGATGATAAGATTACACAAAAGAAAGCAAAATATACAAAACGGGTTGATGATAAATATTGTACAATAAATGGAGAAGAAGCCGGTTTTCTTGCTGTCACACCCCTTGCAGTTTTCTGTAATTTTTCCATCACTTGAGGCAGCCACGCCAATTATTTCCATCGTATTGGGTGTCCCCTGAAAGAAAAAAAACCTGACAAAAATAAGGATTTGAAAGATTCCTTTTCAGGAACTTCCTCCACCAACTATTTCCTCCTTTTCAAATGGGGCTTTCAGAAAGGAAGTGGTGGCCAGCAGTAACATTCCCCATGGGAGGGACCCATCTTCCCTTCACATGTGGAGAAGCAAGAATATCCTCTTATGAGGCAAAGCAGGAAAAGAAATCATCCTTTCATTGGCGGTGTATTCCGACCGGATAGGTGTCTGGTGCTGTGTCCAAGATGGTACCTTCTGAAGAGTCATTTCCAATTGGCTTCAAGCCCCACATTGCAGACAGACAGTGTAGGGCCCATTGGCTTATCCTCTATCCAACTTCTTTCAGTTGGAAACAAATCAAGTCATTAACAGAAAAAAAAAAAATAGCAACCCTTAATCTTCACCCAGATCCTCCTTCACTGCAGTGGAAAGATTTTCTTACATCCTCAGCGAGGCGCTCAAATATTTCTCCTGTTGCTAGCGGGCATAGGGTTGGTGGAAATATTTCTTGCAGCCTTTCACCTTTTTTTCCCCAGTTTGCAAACCCAATTTCCTGCCTTCTGCGCATTGCCTTGCTCCTTGCTGTATGCAGGACAGTGGAAGGAACGATCTGGAAGGTGTCTGAGAGCCATTTAGCGGAAGTTGGATGACTATTTATCGCTTTCAAAGGGAGACGATCGGCTGTTAGTGCTCGCAGGATCAAATGGGTAAATGAGAGGCAGAGAAGATCGCCATTCAGGCTAATGGGATTTACACTCTCAAATCAAGTTATGTGGATGCATTATAGGGAGTTCACATTGAGGGGAGCCAATTACCCCATTAGCACTAATAGGAATTGCACTAAGGTATCACGTGAGAAGACGCGTGGAAAAAGATTGCAGCTTTCCCATGCTTATTAGGGATTGTTTTCCTAAACAAGATCATATCTGGTGGTTCTGGATATTTAGCCTTGCTTTCACCAAGCCACTCCATTCATAAAGCTGGAGAAGGACCTTCTTCCTAAAGGGCTGCTACAGAGACTCAGCTCCTCTATACTCACTGCAGCCTTTCTTACGCAAACAAGGGCATACAACAGGTAGGCCTTCTGCTGCTGAGAAAGTTACAGATGGAGATGTACATGCCTTTTATCTGCAGTTCCTGCTGCCTCTCAGAAGTTGCATGCTGGCTTTGTCTCTGGGTGCTGTTGTTTACAGCCATCTTCTCACTGGCAAGTGCCCAGCGGACACATTTATTCCCTGTGCAGTGCACAGAGGCATCTTAAACAGATACCTGTAACCCTAATGATGCTTCTTTCATGAAGAAAAGGCAGCAAAATTAAATGCAAGCGGCACATTACCACACTTGTTTTAAATTGATATTTAATTAAAAAGTTAATTATTAATTAAGTTTATCAATTGCACATCAGTTGTTCAATAGAAAAGGGCTCATTCATTTAATTATCTGCGTGCAACCGATAGTATATGCTTTTTAGCCAGGCAAGGTTATCTCTGCATCTCTTCTAATTTAGATCAGTTTAGCTTCTAATCTATCGAGAGTGCTTCCTTCTACGAGCTTTTGATTTGATCTATAAATGTTTACTTACAGAACTGTTAGGTATTAGAAGCTGATCAAATAAAGGGAAGAGCTGCACTGCGCTCACTGAAGGGCGCTGGTGGTGCTTGCCTGCAAGGGGCTTCGAGGAGCTTGGTTTAACAGTGCGCCTGCTGTAAAAGTTTGAAAAAAGATAAACATCCACCCCGAAAGTATGTTAATAGCCCAAACAATGGGGAATCTTCAAAGGGCCAGAGAGGCCGGGGAGCAGAACATAGTGGCAGATAGCAGCACCGCTGGGCGAGGACTGCAGGGCATGGGATGTGGCAATGGCATGAGGTCTGCTGGGCTGTGGGGGCATGCTGCTCTCCCAGGGCCCTGATCAAAGCCTCAGCCTAAGGCTCCCGCTCTTCTTTCTCCTTTGCATGGTTCCTATGTGCAAATCAACAGCTGTTTATGGAGGGGTTTTGGATGACACGTAGTAAACCATACAGTAAACACCTCCAGTACTTGGATAGTCTAGTGGAGGAAAATGTCTTGCAGAGGCTGTGGCTCTAAGAATGTGTTGTAATAAATTGCTTTGTATTTATTTTAACCACAAATTACGGTCCTGTTCAATTTCTAACAAAATAGCACTGAACACTGAACCATAGAATTGTTAAGATTGGAAAAGACCTCTAAGATCACCTAGTCTGACCATTCACCTATCACCAACATTGCCCACTAAACCATGTCCATAAGTACCGCATCTTCATGATTCTTAACCACCTCCAGGGAAGGTGACTCCACCACCCCTCTGGGCAGCCTGTTGCAGTGTCCAACATATACACATATAGATTTAAGATGTTAAAGGACTTTGGCACATTAGTATCCAGAGACCAAACCGGCCTGGACCTGGTATCCAAGATGCTGAATGAACACCATTGAAGTCAAGAGACAAACTGCTCAATCAGACCTTGGAGCATCATAGGATGCTATAGAGAGGCACTACATAACTACTTAGAATAGACTGCAGCACTCTGTCTCCCTAAATATTTCTCACGTCCATTGCAATCACCACATGGATGGGCAATCACCACAACACACTCCCTATCCCAGGACTCCCCCGTGTAACACAGATCATGAACACATGATAAAAAACTGTAGCAGACCATAGAGGATCAGACAAGGAAAAGGTGGGAGAAAAACATGTGACAGAGGGCTGATGGACTGCCTTGAGGGGGCAAAGCTGAAGCAGATGTGTCCTCTCAGAGCTTAGTCAATCAAGAAAAGGAAATGTATCACAACAAGTAAATAGCGACGGCAGAAGTTCATATAATTCAGGTGAATACTCAGTCTGCAGCTTGTATTTGATCTGAAGACAGCAAGCCCAGGGCTGTCTCCCATCTCTTGAATGAAAAGCACTAAGGGGAGAGGGCTTTTAAAAGGAGGGTAATTTACAATGCAATATTGCCGGGGGTGGTGGCGGTGGTGTGTTTGTACAACTGGAAAGAGGATAAAAGAAATCTCCATGA